TTTAATACACATGAATAAATGTTTCTAAACATTTAGAAAACCTAAAATAACAGATTTCCAAGCCAACCTGTACAGATAGAAAATTACTTAAAAAAACTGATAAAAACCAACAGCTTTTGTGTGTACCAAAACACATGCCTTGAGCAGCAAGAATCACTTCCTGAGCTTGATACTGCAGACCAAGGAGCTGTAAAGGTGCCCAGCCCTTTGCAGAATCAGGCCTAAAATGAATACTTACGATGGCTCTCTTCTTGTCCCCGCTGAAATCAATAGCAAAAGCTCCAGCGATGCAAAAAGCTTAATGCTTTACAGGGTACTCAGTGAAACAATCAAACATGAGCAAAGCCAAGCCTGACAGAACGGAGCTTTACGTTTTCCTGGGAAGTGCTGGAGTATTGCAGTAGGAGAATTAATTTGCTTAATCATCAGGGGAAAAAAAAGCCCAAACAAAATCCAACACAATAACAAATCTCTGAGGAGAAAGGGAATTGTTTCTCTGTTAACTACTTTGAGATAAAGCACTGGAAGAAAAATGTCCAGTTCCAATAATGTCATAACCTGATTATAGCCTGCACAGAAGAGCTAAAACACTTGCAGAACAATGAGTAAGAAATTAAGTTTCAAATTGAGTGCTGGCCCTATCTTGTGTCACTTCTTTATACTCTAGCAGAAAGGACACTGCTGAGCTCATTTCACATCCACCAGCCTGAGATGCCTGGATGCAGACATCATTTAGTCATCTCATATATGTTTTTTCCCATTTTTTTCTCTAGGAGGAATGACAAATCTAGAAATGCGACTGCACTTTGTTTTATTATGATATTGATTTTTCCTGCAAAGGGAAAGTGCATTTATCCCCTAGGTCTGCGTGCTGGCAAGAAAGGGTTAACAAAATGTTTATCACAAAGCTGGCTTCAGAGTTGAAAGTAATGTGATCAGTAATGAATTTTGTGTTACATTAGGTTGTATAAATGGACAGACAAGCGCAGACAACAAGTGGCCAGGAGTCGGGGCTAATCTAATGATGTAAAAATAGAGACAGCACCAATTATACTTGGGGCCAGCTCAGAGCTCCTGCAGGGACTGCAAATGAATAGGTACAAATCAAATTACTGACTAATAGACGCACTACAAGAGAGGGCAGTCAATGCTAAATACATTAGGGCCTTGTGACCTCTCTGCTCTGAACAGCAGAATCCTAAATTTGACTTAAAAAAAATCAAAGAAACTCTTGTTCATTTAAAGAGAGAAATAGAACAATGTTATTTGTGAAATGATTTGCAACACTCAGATATTTTTTGTTTTCTTCCTCTATGGCCACACTATGTACGTAACCCCACGAAATCTGACAAAGGGATTACTTTTAAAACTAGGAGAAATAGTCTTTGTGCAAAAGTAAAGACCTGATAACAATACAGTTATGTTACATACCACAACATTTCAAAGCCATGTGCCTCTTTGCGGTGATGTTTTTAACTGCTACTTCACCGGCTGTGTCTGTATCAAAAATAAAATATTTCTTAAAAAAAAAGCCTTGATTTAATAATAAGAAAATTAAAAGGAATCTCCCCAAACCAAAACTGATTACAAATAAATGCAGTTGACCAACTTGTTACCAAATGTAGAAAGTCAGAGTTGTCCCTTGGTATCAGCACTCTCTTTAGAGACGTCAGCAGACTTTTTCTACAAACAAGGAACCTAAATTCACACCCGAAACATTTGTAGTATCAGCATTCATTCGACGCCCCTTAATAATGCCTGACCTAGAAGAAATTCCACTAAAAAAATCCCAGCGCTGGTTTTTGAGCTCTGTGCATCACCCCGAAGGGCTGAGGAGGAAATGACCCATTTGGCAGGGGCTGGCTGCGATGCTCCGCCGCCCTCCCCCAGCCCAGGTTGACAAGTGGACAATAGCCAAGATCTGGCAGCCTGGGAAATAATTAGAGAGTTAAAAATGTGCTCGTTGGCCCTGGAAGGCTCCGCGAAGGGGCGGCCCGAGGGCAGCCTGCTGGAGGCACGTAAGGGCGTGCAGGGCTGGAGAGGAGAAGCCCGCGCTAAGGCGGTCAGCGCCCGCGGCGCGTGCCCTTCCTGCGCACGAAGCCCTGCGAGGAACGTGCGCAGCACCGCAGAAGGAAGGCACGACAGCTCTGCTGCTGCAGAGAACGCACATAAGAAACCAAAACATGTTAAAATAACAGCAGCCAATGCGTGCTCTTCTCAGTCAGCACTTCAAAAAATGGTGGCTCTCAAAGGCCCTTGAAATTTCATTTCTTTTAAAAAGAGTCTCATTGTAATAAGCCTTTTGTAGGAAGAACTGCATTGAGCTCTGAGACTTATTTGAGGGCGTAATTTAATCTCTGACCCCGGGATGAATATTCCAAAAGTTCAAAGGCTGCTTTTAGCATCGGTGCTATTTGATATGCCAGGATGTTTGCTGCCCAAGCTGATTCTGCATTGAACCTATGCAGAAGCCTTTTTGCAGAAATGCTCTTTAGAGGGAAAATCAATTGTTCCGGGTTGTTGCGTTCCTATATCCCACGTCCCAGGTCGAATTAAGACATACTGAAGGGGGGAGGGAATTATCTTAGTAAAACTGAAAGCAAGAAGAAGAAAAGAAAGAGGGAAGGAAAGAAAGGTACTGACGCAAGCTCTAACTCTGGATAGGGCTAACTCTGCTCTTGAAACTAAATGCACAGATATTTTTTCTGTACAGGTGGCCGCTCATCTCTGAACTCAGCTTCTGATGACAGACGTTTTCTCTTTTGGAAAAAAAACAGCATCAGAAGATTTTTCCTGTGCCGGGATCAGAGGGATTGTTCCTTCCTCCTTTCAGGCAGAAGAATACCCTTCTGACCTCAACCAGGCACGTAATAAAGCTTGTGACTTCACTTCTTGCCATGAACTTCAAATTTAGACCCAGGCCGCAAATTTCACATAAAGATTTCAAAAACTTCCCCTTGCAAAGCTCAAAGGTGTCAAGTCCTGAGTTTGGCTGAGGCCACCATAAGCATCTGAGAGCCAGATGCAGCATGTGGCTTCAGAGGGAGGTCACCTTCCAAACTGTCCTGCAACACAGAGCCCAGGTTTTGGCAGGGGCTGGTTTCTAACAGCACGTCTAATTAGCTCCACTTACTTACATTCCATTAATCAGATTAAAGAGTTTGTTTCAAAATATGAACTTCATTCATCACATTACGGGTTTGTTTGTGAAATTCAGGAGGAGTTTGGAGCGTTTCTAACGAGGGCCGTGCACAGCTCTCTGCTGCTTTTGCGCCTCACCTCTTCTCTCACTAACTTTGCAAAGTTGGTGGTAGTTGACAGAGTTGGAGTTTTGTAGGAATTTTCAAAGAAAATGAGACATGCTGTGTGGTTTTTTTTTTTTTTAACTGAAACTCTGCTCACATTATGATGGGCTCAAATCACTTCCCTTTAAATTCTATAATAAATCTTCAAATCTTGTGGGTTTTCTCGATCATGTTGGTGCCATACTTAAATCTTTCCTGCTACAGAACTACTAGCACTGCTTCTAAGATGCAAAATTTGAGGGATGATCCGCAGTGTTTTAATGCAGGTTTTCAGTGGAAGTTCATATGTATTCCTGATACAGGATCGGTAGAGGAGAAATGTTATTTTGTTCCATAAACTGAAGTGTAAACTGAGCTAACACAAGGTTCAGGATGAAAAAAAAGGATATATGCCTATGAAGAAAAATCTTATTCTTATATGACCATGGAACAGTTCCAACATTTGTAAAACACTGCAGAAATGTGGATTTGGGTATTGTTTGTCAAAATAAATTAGATGCAACTACAACATTCAGGCAGTCAAACAAACTGAAACAGAGAAGACACAGCAGACAGGCACAAACTGGAACCACAAACTGAAAAAAACAGTAAGCCAGGCTCTGCACCTAAAGTCGCGTGGACTCCTACGGCACTCCACTGATCAGCTCTTTCTTGCTAGCAGAACCAGGGCATCTAGCAGCATCACATATATTACTAAGGAAGTTTGTAGCATTGCCTATCCTGACAAAACTGGATCTGAACACTTATTTATTTTGCATGTGAGCAATAACTAATAAAAACACCTTGAAAATAACAACAGCAAATGCATGCTCTTCTCATTCAGTGCTTGAAAAAAATGGTGGCTCTTAAAGACCCTTGAAATTTAATTTGAGAGTCTCATTTACTTTATACTTATTTATTTTATAAACTCACAGCTCTCCCTTGGAAACCTGCGCTTTGTGTTAGCAATAAATCTCCCCCTCTGGCACTGTGCTTATCTATGTAAAGATGTAAAGATGGAGCTTGTTTGGCTACAGCAGAGATGTGCCTAGATTTAACATACATTAGACCTTTTGTGCCAAAGGAGGAAGGAGAAGTTGGGATGAACTCCCTGACAGTGGGAACACCTTCCCTGCTACTGCAGCACATGCACAGCAGCACCAGGTCAAGCTGTCCTGTAGTTAGTAGCCTCCGCTATGGGACTGCATGACAGGTCCAGCGGTTTTCTTTCAGATCAGCCTACATCCTAAATGGACATGAGTGGGGACCCAAAGAATCTGGATACCTGGGACATGCATCAACCCCCTCCGCCCCCCATGATTTACCTCTACAGAAATCAACTCCATGAGCATTGCGGTTTCTGAGGTGCTCCACAGCCCGGAGGGAAAGGGGAGAGAGCGCAAGAGGAACCCGTCTCACGGGATTCAGCATATTTAACTCTTACTGCATAGAAACCCGCAATTGTCACAGAACTAGTCTTCCTCGGTTACATTTGAGCACAGACCGTCAACCACACTATAAAGGCTTGGTCTCATATTATAGACTAATTTTCAATGTTATGCCTGGGGATGACCGAAACGCATTTGGAAGGTTAAGAAATGTACTTATTGAAGGACTACATAAATCAGAGGCTTTACTGATTACAGTAATTTGGAGGCAAAGAACTCTAACCTAGGCTAGCAATATTTGTATGACAAGTTTGAGTGGAATATTGTCAAGAAATTTGTTTCCTGGAAGCACAGTTTCATAAATCAAAATACTAGCCTTTTTTTTTTTTTTTTGAGAATGCAATGTGAAGCCACAGCACATACGCAGAAACTATACTGCAAACATAAATATTGTGGCTGCTTGAAAACAAAGTTTTGCACGCAAAAAAGGTCACTGACCACTTACATTTTGTGAATAGACCTTCAAATTTTTCCAGTCAGAGTCTGTCAGCTAGAGTCTGACAGAAACTGAAACAGCAAAAAAGTCTTTTTGCATCTTTGCCAATTTACGCCTTCTTTGGAATTAAATGTGTATTTAGGCTGACAGCTTATGTACAGCAGACTCCACTTAAGATAGGCATGGGTTGTCCGGATAATTGGATAACAAGGAGAAAAGCTGGTTTCCCAATCAACTCAACTCACTGTATGACTGGAGTTATCATTTAGGTCACAAGGAAAGTAGATTTTTGGGGGGTCATTTTCCAGACCTGCTTCTTCTCCAGTCCACTGTCCGACAGCCCTTGGCAACTAGCCAGAGTCATAGACAGAAAAGACACTTCCCCACAAATGCAGGATTGATCTTCATGGTTTTAATGGCCCCTAGTTCGATGTTTCCTACAGAGCACCTCTCGGTGCTCCCTGTGACGGACAGAAGCTAGGACTACTGCACGCAGTGCTAACACTGCTTTCAGTGCAAATTCTAGGTACAAATTGAGAAAAACTGTTAATATCTACTTCCCAAAGTATTATGAGCATGCGTTTCCTCTGCACTACTGTAGCGTATCAGCCCTGAATACTATATAAATGTATGTGTCAGCTCTGTCCTAACAGTTAAGGCATTAAAAGAATCTATTTATCTCTTGCCATTAAGTGTGTGTCAGGGCCAGTTGCGCGCTTGATAATGTCTCCCTGTCCATCCTACTTCCCATTTTTTCTTTGTCCACCTAGTGGACCTGAGCACCGTGCAGGTGTATATATTCACATTCAGCACTAAAAATGTTCTTTTTTTATGCTTCAGTTCAATTGGGACCTTATATGTTTCATTAAATTTCTGCAAAATGTGTTTAAGCACTGTCTGAAGAGAATTCAAGCAGCACAAACAAAGGTTAAAGGCATGCCTAGCATCCACTTAATATAAGTCATTTTAGGATTAGTAGAGGGAAGTTTATAAATTATATAATTTTGAGTCCAATGCAGAAATATAAATCCTGTATTGGGAACCAGTACCAGTATAGTAACCAACTACCAACAAGCAGGTTTATGGTGTCCTCCTCTGCTGAGGTCTTTCCTGTCATTTCATTGAGGTGAGTGGGCAGAAAAGGATCCAAGAGAGGAAAAGCCGGGCTAGAAAACTGTGCATTTTTTAAAGATCCATTCAGTTCAGCCTGAGCTGGTTAAGACGTTTGGGGGAAGTTAAAACAATCCTACTCGCTAGGAGCCAACAAAGACACCTCATCTTTGAAGCAGGGGTAATGTACCTCCAAATTGATCTATTTATTAACTAGCAGGCAGATGCTAGCGCTTTACAGCGATCCACACTGACAAAACAGCTGGCTGGCAGCCTGCCTCGAGTGGAGCCGCTCGTGTTGTCACTAGTGCTGGCCCCTCTCGTGGGCACGGGGCGCTTTCCAGGTATCCCCTGGGCAGTATAGCCCCTTTTATGGCCACCTGGCCATAAAAAGCACAGTTCAAGAGTCGTTAGGGGATGGAAGCAGAAAGGGCTTGAGGGTACCCAGCCTTATCAACAGGTTTTCTTTGCTGCATCAAGTCATCACACGCCCAAATCCAGAGAATAAAATGTTAGTGATAGAGAGAATCCTATGACAGGCAAAAAAACAGAGAGCGCAGTAACGATAGTGACGGTAAGGTAGCAGGATTACGTGAGTTGGGTTAATGCTCATGTTACTCGCTACTGCACGACGATGCTTACATTTGCTGCTTTGAAGTGGCATATTTTTTACATTCCCTATAAACATTTATGTGTCTGGAGTAAAAGAGCAAGGGTAAGCCCTCTCTCTGGAAGAACTTTAGCTCAGTGATGGCATCTCTTTGTAAACAGCTCTGTTCTGTCTTTCTGCTGATAGATCTTGACTATTAAGAACCTAATCTTATGCCAAAGAAGATGGCACTCACTGATATCAGCTGGGTTTTACTGGTGAAAATGAAAGGCAAATTTAGACCTCTGTCTCTGATGAAGTTTCTAGTTTACAATATAATACAATACAAAATCTTTGAGGGCATTCAGTTGCCTTATTCTGGCATGTCTAGATGGCTTTAGCTTTCAGAGATGGTACCCTTCCCACATCTCCTCTGAAGTACACAGCCTGTGGGGAGCTGACCCATCATTTGGAAGTAGACACCATCCCAAAGTTCATTCTGACAATATCGTGGATCAGTAAGTAAGGAAGTATTTTTTTTGGATGGATGGATGTTTTCCAGTCTTCACAGCCCATTTTCCCAACTTCACAAGTCTTTGAAAACATGACCTGCCTAAACTCTACACCACTAATATGAGGTATCTCTATCCTTATTATAGTGATGGAGCACCTGAGCCACAGGCAGGTTAAGCGCCTTGTCCAAGGCAATAAGATGGTGAGAATTAGCGCCAGATCTGTAACTGCAACCCACACTTAATGTTCAACCAACCTCCTTCTGTCAACCACCAAATCTTAAACTGTCCCTTGAGTCCATCTTTGTACAGCACTAGCAAATCAGAGGACAGGTAGGCTGAAAGAATAAAAATTGAGGATATGAAAGGCACTTCTGTACTACTCAGCAGCTTGGTTACTGCTATTTGTACCTACGTACAAATAAAAAAGCTTAAACTCTGACCGCTTATTCTCGGCCTCCTCCTCCCCCAAACTGTGGGAGGTAGCAGCAGTATGATGGCCTGCTGTGGGTTACGTGCTCAATAGTGACCCATCTGCAAAGTGAGGGCAACAAGCCCTGATGGGAGAGCCCTCGAGTCTTCTCCAGCTGGGGCAGTGAAGAGTAGGGAGAGCTCCATGCAGCACAACCCCCTCAGCAATACATAAGGGCAACAGCTGACAAGGAAGAGACAGCTTCCACTCTCTGAAGCCTTTCTATAATGTCAATAGGTTGGCATACCCATACATTACTGCTAAAGCGCGCTGTTTCGTCTTTCTTCCCAGGCAGCTTGCCAGAACAGTGACAAGTGAGTTGGCAGCTGATGTTAGAAGCTACCATTACTATTAGCTGCTGGTCACAACACAAATGGTGCATGGATCAAAGATGGATTTAGCCCTTTTACTAGAGGGTATTTTTAAAACAAGTCAAAATTAATGGAGACAATAAAAGCACAATAACTGCACTTCAACATTTCTGAACATTACCTACCACTGAGCCCCTTCTGAGCAGCATAATCTCTGACGTGCCATTCCATTTAAACAGATGATATAATTTATCAATATAATGGACACTGATGAAGACGGATTAATTTGGATTACCGAACCAGCACTTCACAGTGGCTCTATTTAGGACACCAAATTAGGATGTTTGTGATGATGACGTTGTTTTGAACAGCATGGGCATGGGCAGAAATCTGCACAAAGACTAGGGTGCTCTTGAGTTGGCAGGGCAGTTGGCAGGGAGGAGAGTCGTTATCACAGCAATACAGTAAAGAAGCTTCAAACGTCAATATTTGTCTTTAAGTTACTTTAGGCTTCTCAGACTGCATCTATGTGATCTACCAACATTTTCTTTTAATACACGATCTCTCTCACGCTAGGGGAGACCCCCATAGAAGTTAATCACAGAGGAAGCGGGCTGAGAAAAGGGGAAGTAAAACTTTAACTAGTTAAAAAAAAAAATCACCATTGGGTGAGATGTACGTGATCTCTGATCACACCTCTTCTTTGTACCTGTTCCTGATCCCACTATGTCCCTGCTGGGAGATTCACACATCGCATCAGCCAGGCGTTCTCGAAGGCCCTCTTCAGTGTGCTCCATGGAAGACATTTGGCGGAGACCGAAGTTCTCAGGCCAGCTCCCACACACCTCCAGCAAGGTCACGCTCCGGTCAAAGGCACCTTTAACAAACAAACAGGAGACCTCTGGTAGACCTCAGGACCAAACTTCTTCCACATACATATAATTTATTGCAATGGTTCATTTGAAAGAAAGAAGCCCTTACATTTTGTGTTCCTGAAAAGCTAATTTCAGCACATTAATTCAAATGTTGATGTTAATAGCACAGTAGGAGCAAGCAGAGCCCTAAGTACTGAACTGCTCGGCCAAGCAGTTGCAAGCAAAAGCATCACATTAAAAATACAGACACAATTCTGTCCTCACGCTAGTGAGAATCAGGAATAGCACCATTGAAATCACCCTAATGACACTGATGTAAACGACAACAGGATCAGGAGCTGCAGCGTTTTAAAATTGTACATACGTTATTAAGCACATCCTAGACAATGGGAAATTATTTTTGAAGTTGACTCGACTTTCACTGGGTTGACTCTTTCACACTCTTTTGCCTTCTCATTTTGGACAATGGAAAGAGTCAAGTCATTTCATCTTTGCTAACGGTCACAAACTTTAGTTACTGTCCCTCTCACGCTCTTGCGTGGAAAAGTCCAGCAGCGTGACACATTGGTGAGGAACGGATTGCTTGCTTTTTATTTTGTGTTTTAAATATGTCTGCAAAAGAAAAAAAGGGAACCTTTCATTCGGTCTAGGTTTTATGTGGATCTTCTGTGTTCCTGCACGGTGAAATTTTAGGTCAAATGTGAGCTAAGAGCCCCTTTCATCAATAGTGCTTTACTGAAGGTGCTGGCTATTATGACAGAGTGCATGTACCTACAAAAGAGAAATAAAATAATTCCTTAACTTGTAGTTATTTCCTAATTCAAAAGAGTACACAATGATCTGTGGAATGCAAAAATTAGATTCTGAATTCAAGATCACTTCAAAGTACAAATTAAAATTATTCTACTTTATTATACAGCAAGTCTTCTGCGAAGGCTTACTTAAATCATTCCCACTTGGAACAAGATTACAGTTATGCTTTGTTGCTTCAAGCACATACCATTTACTCAACTATTAGGTAACTGAATATGCAGCGTTTATTGTGCCTGGTTTCTGCCAGCCTACAGAGGGGAAAAAATGCAAATGCCAGTGTTTCTCAAAGTTAAAAGTACATGAAACACGTCCTTGTTATCAGGCCTTTGGTTTTCCCCTTTGATCAGCCGTCAGAAACTATCTACACTTGTGCACTGTGACTGTACAGCTTCACAGCACACTCTCTGCCAATGACAGGTGGTAATAGAAAGGGTGAGAGACCAAGCCCCGCGGCAGGCGTCCCTTCCTCTGATAACGGCCAAAGTACTGGGTGATAACCGTTAGTAAACACTCGGGCAGCCAGTTAATCCATACATCAGCAAAGAGGGGCAGATAATTTTGAACTCTAATGGCACGGACAAAAGCACAAGGGCTGGCATTCAGGGATTTATATGGGCTGCAATGGTGACTTCTGGCTCCTGAATTTCATCAGCACACACAACTTTGATTTATCTCTTTGCCTGGCCACAAAGTAGATTCCTGGCACTAGAAAACCATCAACACTAAAATGGACCTCTACAAAATGGGCCCATGGCTCTTATGTGATACATGCACTTGAACTCTGGATGAATCCCAGGTTTGAACCTCGAGGAGGAATGACCAAATATTTCAACTTTCTAATGGGTCTTTGGATTTATAAGGTTACGCCAGTCCACTAGTTTGTTTTAAAGAAATGGTTCTTGAAGCTTGTTTGAGAAAATGCATTTTTGAGAAAATGCAGTGAGGCTAAGTAATTTCTATTATATTTAAGTCTCTGCAACATTTCCATGTTGTCAGCTTTCGTAACTGCAGGAGTAAAAGCAAAATGTGGTCTTTTTTAAAGCTTCTTTTTCAATTCCTCCTTATGTGGTTTCATGAGACCCTGAGACCCTCACTCTGCTTAAACTCTGTCAAGACCCCACTGCTTTCGCTCATTTTCGATGGAGCTGTTTAAGTACCTGGATAGCTACTGGGGGGCTTTTAAAACTGAATCCAAAAAGTCAGAGTGGCAGCGGGTAGGCGCTGGCAAGCTCCCGCGGGTGTTCACTGCTGTGCCAGAGAACGCGGATGAGAAATCTGCTCTTTACTCGTGTCTGCTCTTATTTTGAAAGTGAGAAATGGGAGCATTTCTGCTCCTATAAGCAGACATATGAATAATAAGGCAAATGGTTTTTGAAGCTCTGCCAAGATCACTGCATACGTGTACAACGAGAAACTTCATAGAGTGCCGGTCTCTGGTTCCAGAGATACTTGAGTGAGAGCAAAGGAGACAAGTGTAGCATTACCTCGGCAATCAGGGCCAAGAGCTGCCAGGAGTTCTTAGCAGCAACGTGTGAGGTGCAAGTGTTAATGTAAATGCAGGTTCGAGGGATTAACTGCACAGAAAGCTTTCTTGTAAAAAACCAAAAGGCTGGGGAAGCTCTAGTTTTATCTTTCCTCCCTTTTCACTCCTTTTCCATGTTACGTGTCTGCCACTGGCAATACGTTTCATATCCAGGCATCTAGCTGTGATTCACCAGCCACGACTGCACTGCTGGGACAGTCCCTTGCCTTCCAGTAACACGCGGTGAGGGCAAAGGAGGTCTGTATGCTCTCGTGCGCTCCAGGTTGTACTGGACTCCACACATCCGAGTCTTATTTTGATACACACATTTATTAAATTGGTTGCACATAAAGATGAATACGCAGGGTGTGGAAGTACAAAACGGGGCCTTGCTTAAAACAGAGAGGTCATTTTGTCCTGTAAGACCCAAACTACTACCTCTGCCTGTCTCCAACGTAAAAAGAGCTGTTTCAGGAAAACCAAGACCAGTTGTCACAGACCTTCCCATTCCTCTTGCCATTGACAACAGACCGCAGACGTATTAAAGCAAAATAATTTTCTCAAGACAGAATTAAGTCCTGGATATTTTCACTCCTTGGAAAATTCTTATGTGAAGTGCATGAAATCACAGATGGGCTAATTATTCCCCAGGAGCCTTTGGGTGCTTTGTCCTACATACATCATTACCAACGGGACAAGAGCTAATGGTATTAAAGTTAAACTGATAGCAGCTAACCATATCTTTGCTATTTATTAAATTCTAATCTCTTTTTCTGGCCGCCTTCTCTCCCTTTCTCAATCCCAGTATCTCAGTTGATAACGTATCAAATTTCTCATCATCGGCCAGAGGTAAGTTTACAAATAAATCTCAGTGCAGCATCCTGCTCTCAGAAACCGAAAAAGCCCCAGTCCGAACCTAACTGCGCTGCCAATAAGGCAAGCAAAAGCCTCCCGCTGATTCAAAGGATTACTGACTGCTTGAGAGAAGGCAGACTTCGCTGGCTGTGTTTACTGACAAACTGCTGAAATCGCACTGACAGCCACAAATATAAGACTGTGATGTGTGAAAACTAGCCTTTCTGCTAAGCCAAATACATGGCATAACTTCTCTGACGGGGGAATAGGTTCCATCTAAAAGGAGCAATTAATTTAGAAACAAGTCAAGAAAGAAGCAAATCAGTGTTATTTTAGACAAGCAATCCTGGTGAAATCTCATTAAAGTCACTGAAAAAATCTCACTGACTTAAAATTGTGTTAATATTTCATCCTATGGCTTGGTGCTTTCACCCGAGCAGAAAAATCTACTTCTCCCCTTCTTTACTGAAGATGAAACTGGGTGGAAATTAAGACCATCGGCCTCCTTTGTACGATGCCGAAGCACAATCCCAAATTCACTGCACTACAAATAAAAAACCACTGCAAATCCAACCAAATTGAACAAGCAGAAACTTTGGCTTCAACATCTAGGTCGAAAGCGCTTTGTTCTGCAGTTCCAGCGTGTTTAGCGCTCTGCTGCCCCAAACGCTCCACGGCAATCCTGCTCGACACGCAGAATTTTCCTTCTGAAACTTCAGTTTTCTCCTGATAGGGATCTCACGCTTCTGTCCTTCCACTGAACCGCCCTCTGCTCACAGCACTGCAGGACAGAGCAGAATTAGGCCCTACATCTTTCTGCTTAATGTTTCTCGCGTTTTATTAATGGTATCAGCTTCTGTTATTACTCATACCAAATTACCTTGCTTATAAGCACAAGATTTGTCTTTAACATTGCAATTGTTTCAAGGCTTTTAATATAAAAGGAAAATAAATTAAATTCTAGAGAAAGAAAAAAAAAAGAGCCCCGGAAACACCCTTTCGTTCCACAGTTCGCACTGTGAACCAAAGACCAAGAAAACCAGAGCAGCTTATTTTCTTCTCTGAAAAATCTAGTACTAAAAAGTATTTTTACAAAATATTTTAATGCTTCTAGTATGTTATTTTTCTAAGTCAAAATAGCTAAGCTAAATCTTTCACCATAACCCTTTAATTCAAAAGCCAGGGGAAATTTTTTTCATTAAACCTCTGGACAGCTTTGTTTAAAATATGAAATCAAGTAGCTCCATTTCCTGTCTTCTAAGGAACAGTAAATCAAAAAGAGTACGTTCTCCAAAAATACAGTAATGGTTCTATTAAAGGGCTTGACAGTTTTGAGCCTCACCTTGCATATTGCAACGTACGTGTGAGCAAAAATAACAGAGTAAATAGGAAAGGAAATGAGCTGCCCATTTCGTTACCTCTCCTGGCCCGTTCGGAAGCGCGAGGGGACGCGGACGGGGGGGGCTCGACCCAGCCCGGGCCGCAAGCACCGGGCAGCGCAGCGCGAGCCTGACAGAGCCGCCCAAAAACCCCTCGGCCGGCAGAGAAGCCCACGGGTGCGTCAGCAACGGGCGTATGGAAACTCCTTGCCCCAAGCCATGAGGCAAATTATACCATACCCCGTTTAAATCTCAATGGCTGAACTTTCCTGCAGGGTTTGCCAGTTCACTCGCACGCCACAGCTGCGCTACCCCAGGGGCAACGCCGCAGAAGGGCAGCGCTTCGTGCTTGCTTGAACGGCGACCGGCGCTAATTCCTTCTTTAACTGTGGCGGAAAGGGAATTTCCCCCGCCCTGCCGTATGTTTGACTTT